GGAACCACCAACAGGAAAAAGAAACAACAACTCATTTACTTGAATGCGAACCTTTCCTAGCCCTTTCCCGCTCAGTCCACGCAGAGCTAGACGTTGGCGGATCATCACCCTAAAACACCAAACCTTGCGACAGCTGTTGAAGCTAAGCTCTCTCTGTATTTCATCGTCGGGGATATCATCTACTTTTCTTGCTGAGCCTTACCAAGGACCCTGATCCCAGCTACCTATTTCATAACATCCCCTGTTGTCTTTTGCCGGAAGACCCGTTTGTTACCGCCGTTGCCGTTCACTTCTTAGGGTATGGCATGGCTGTCACATTTCTCTGATGGTCCCTGGACTATTGAAGACCGCCAGATAACGAGCAGCTTTACTCAAACGAATCAATCGCCTTCTTATCGCATATCAGTTGCCCGATCGCCAACCTAAGCGACACCGTCCCCAAGATCTAACTAGCAATCCATGATCTAATTAAGGAGAGCAAGAGATAATATGCCGTGCACTAGGGACTGTTGAGGATCTGTCTCTGTTCGATCACACATAGTCCAAGCAAGGCCCTGGGACTGACAAACCATTACTCATCATCAGCCACTACAAAACCGACTTCAATCCTCAAACACGATAAAGCTAACTTCATAATCATCCCAAGTCACTGCCATCCATTCAAAATTGTGTCATCCCGTTGAATCCCTGCCGCCTTCAGACCATAGCTCCACAGGGCTTTCCTCTTGGCGTCATCTTTTGCTTCCCTCCCAGTCTCAAGTTCATCTGTACCATTCAGATATAGCAGCTCGCCCGTCGGGGTCTCAGTTTCCAAGGCGAGCCGAATTGCATCTTCAGCACTCTTCCACAGTGGGCGGAAATCCCCGTTGGGTTTGAACCTGGCCTGAAGAGATATGACTGGGGCTAGGATCTTGAGGACGTGAGACATGACAAAACTGCCCCGTCGATGTAGATCTGAGCCCATGGCACCGGGATCAAGACCAACCACAGTGATATTGGATAACTGTGGATCCTGAACGAGACGACCAGCGAGTTCGTGCCTACATTCGTCAGATGCTAACTCAGTCAAAAAGCTTGGTGGACTGACATGAGCATCACCGCACATAGCTTGCTTGCCCCATATCGTCGATATCCCGTCAGCCATCCTCCGCCAGAATCTGGTCTGCTCCAGGTTCCCTTGGCGAGCTCTTCTGGGCCAGGGAAGAGACTGTCGTACCCCGTGTAACACTTGATATTTGTGTTGTTTCGCTCGTCGTTGATACTACGGACATTATCAACGAATGTTATTTTGCTTGCATGCCACGGCTTACTCATGAGACCAGCTTCCTATGAGAAGGATCCTACCATTTTCTTTATCCATGCTCTGAAGCAGGAGAAGAGTCAATAGTTGATTGGCCAGGAAATTAACTTGCCAAGTCATCTCGTATCCATCATCTGATATTTTCTGTTTTTGATGAGTATAGTACGTCTTCGACTGTTTGGTTCGAACTCACAATCTCTTCATGGTCTTGATATCCAGCGTTGAGGATGAGTGCTCTGATGGGAGGCAAGTCTCCAGCAGCAACCCTACGGTTGATCCCGGTCACCATTGTTCTGACACTCGCCAATGAGCTGAGGTCCAAGTCAACGACATCGTGCCTATGACACCCCGGAGCTGACTTCAAAACCTGTTGAAGTCGAGTTGCCGTCACCGCACTTCTGACAGTATAGACACCGGTATAGTTGCTGGCCAATTGTGTTTTGCCCAGAATATTGGTCACAATGGCTGACCCAAGCCCTCCATTGGCCCCAGTGATCAGAATAGTACCTTGAGAAGACGGCATCTTCAAAAACTTCTAAATTCGAATGTGAAACAAATGCAGAATTTGATTTATCTGTGTTTGTTGCGCGGACTTGTTGCACTTATACAACTGACCCTCGGAGATAGCTCTCGTAATCCAAAAATATGTGTGGCCCCAATTTTATTAGTGATTACTGACATTTTGGGTGCTTTCTTCACCAAAGATCGAGACTAATCTTAACATTCCTGGCTGATATAAGCCAGCTTGTGGCAGTTCGTTTCTGGATAAACCTCGACTAAGTCCGTCTGGCTATGTCATTAGTAAGATACTATATGCCCTTAAGGGCTACGGTAACCGCAAACTACAGCCGTCGTAATCGGGTTCAAGATGGCATATTCTAGTGACCTGGTAATGGATCATACAGATTACTTTATATCTTCACCGTACATATATATGACTGTCTTCTGAAACTTTACAGGCCGCATGTTCAGTGGGCCTTCAAGATAGTGTTCAACATCAAGGGGTTGATTGTTATGTAATTGCTTTCTCCTTACTAATATGTACATTGGAAAACTATGATTGACCAGGTGCCTTGAGTATCACGCACTGCTGAACTTGGTCTGGTCAGTGAAACAATTCGACGGCGTCAAAGATGAAGTTGGGGCTCAGGAAGTCAGCACCAGAGCTACCAGAGATGACCTCGATAGTAATGGTATTGGTGCCAGCCTTGAGGGTGCCAGCAGGAATAAGAGCATCGTATACTTCACCGAATCCACGGTAAGCTCCCCGCGTAACACCCCGAGAGTCAATCTTGACGGGAGCATCGAAGGCCTTCTTGAAGCTACCGACGGTGACCTGAGGGCGACCACTTGCAAATGCAAGAGTGGTACCGATACGAAGAGTGGCCTGGGTGGAGATGGCAGAGGGGAGATTAAACTTGATAGTGACTGGGTTGTTGACGGCCTTGAAGATGGCCATGGGAAAGTCACCAGCAGAACTAGAGCCTACAGTGTAGGTGAGAGGACCCCAACTGGCCATGCGCTTGTCACTAGGATGCATGCGCAGCTGGTTGGCAGCGTTAAGGAAACCCTTGGGCTGGCCATCCCAATCGCCAATACGAAAGACAGAGGTGTGCTTTCCAGTGGTAATGTCGGAGTCGGCGGCGATAGAAGAAGAAGCAGTACTGCTGGCAGAGACGCTCACGCTCTTAGAGGCAACCTTGAGCTCACCCTGGTAGAGAACTTGAGTGTAAGTTCCCGGCACCATGAATGGAGAGGTGAAAGCACCGTTGGAAGAAGTGTAGGCCCAGTACTGAAAGTCTTTGTTGAACCAATGCACAACACCCTGGAAGCCAGACTGAACACCAGTGGCGGTACCACTCACTCGGCCGCGGGAGGAGTCGGCGGTGTAGTTAGGGATAGAAAGATCCTTGAAGAAGGACATGTCAATATCCTGAGCCTTTGGAACACCAGATCGTGAGAAGGACAAGGCGTAAGGGCCATGGAAGCCCTGGCGGAACTCCTCAGTCTTGGCATGGCCGGAGTTCATATAGAAGGTAAGGGCGCTGAAGTCACCGTTGTTGTTGCTGTTGATATCACGGAAGAAGGGACCGCCTGAGCTTTTCTCGTAGGAGCGCGAGGCGTGGGTGACCATGCATGCGTGCACATCCTTGGCGCTACTCTGGAAGCACCAGACGTCGTTGTCGATGAAGCGCTGGGACGAGTAGAACTTGGAACGAGTCTGGCCGTTGACATTGAAGACGTCAGAGCCCTCGACCGCAGAACCACCCGAGGTATTGGAGGCTTCGCCAAAAGGTATCTCGTTGGGCAGTTGGGAGCGATCGAGGCGAGTAATGTAGCGAAGCTCGCCAATAGCAGGTTGTGACTTTGTATCAGTGGCCATGTAGACCATGCTCTGGCCATTCTGGACGACATAGTAGTGAGTTAGATCAAAGTCTCCTGACTTAGTGGTACATGTGATCTTGATATATTTGTCTACGCCCAGGTCAGCATGTTGCAGCGTTTGACACACGCTCTATACTCACTGTCAAGGACAGTAGACTGGACATTGGACGATCCCAGACCGGACGCAATGTGAGAAGTCTGAGATTTGTACTGGTACTCAGCTCCGCGGAACTTGATCGAATTAATGGAGCAGTCACTCTTGCTGACGGTGACGGAGAAACCGTTGGAGTTGCCAGAGTCAACAACAAGATTGTTACCACTGGTGGTGACGCCAAAGGCTGCCAGAGCCGGGGCAGCACTCGCAAGAGCACTGAGATACTTGAAGCTGACCATATTTACGATTACCAGATCGCCAAGTAAGGACAGTATAAAAAGGAGAGAAAATTTAGGGAAAACAATGTCTTCAAATGTAACGAGAAGCTTGAAAACGATCCAAAGAAGCAAAAGGGAAATCGTATCAAGTTTACAAAGGCGCAATATGAGTATATATCCACCCATTACATGCTTGGCGGAGTGCTCCTTACAACCCCAGAGATATAATGATACAGGGAAGCTAATTGGAGGAGAAACTATAAACATAGTGATGTGGGAAATGCTGAAACAAACGCTAGTTTTCCGAGCAATGTTGCGATGCCCGTGCTTCTAAGACCAAGATTGGGGCAGGGATGGCAGCTCCTAGCAGACGGTTTTCTGTTTAAGTGAGCTCCTCTCGGTGATGATTTGCAACGAATGCCGAAACTGCCGCCTTATTATTACCTAATTCGGGGGGAGTTGCAACGAAATATCTCCGAAGCTGATGTGATTTCCCTTTATGGTATCTTGATAGAATGGTATTGGTGGGGAATTGTCCACTTCAACAGACCCTGGGCATGCCATTTTACATTTTGACAATCTGGATCATTATATCACAATATGTCGCAAGAGCCAATGTTAGTTGCCAGGGTGCGAAAATTGGTTTCCGTTCAATATTTCCTTTGTTTAGTTCATCCTTCTCCGTCAGATGCCCAGATTGCAACAACTTTATCCCGAAACGATAGTGGTCGTGATAAAGTCCTGAGCCTAGCAAAGACTTCCCAGAGTAATCCAGAGACAGAAAATAACCACGAGAGTAATACCGTTTGACGAAGCTCTTGATCCCAAGTTGGATCCCCTACTACTCTGTCCTTCAGCACGCCCATCGCCATTCCCTTGGCCATCATGTTCAATTCGAAAATTGTAGTCATCAGTGTAACCCGCTGGCTCACATTTTGTCCCTTCAGCCATAGCCATCTTGATCGACCAGTGTCCACCTGCGCATCTCTGAAATGAATTGGTCATACAGTGCCACTGGCCCTCTGTACTGCATCCTGAACCTGCTTCCTCGTCGCGTTGAGACAACGTGTTGCTGGCATCTTTTGAGTCTGATGAGGCCAGAGCGAGGCATGAGAAGAACAGAAGAAGTACCGCTAACGTTACTGGTAGCTGATAGCTTGAGGTGGGACGCATTTTGATGTAATTGGGCGCTCCAGATTCCGGATGAGATCGGCGGCTTCGGAGGCGGAGCCGGCGTTATGTGGGGTTGGTGGACCGAGGCAAAGAAACAAATGACTTCTAGAAAGTTATAGATCTTTGTTTCAACTTCAAACAACGTTCCAAACCCGCAGAGAAGACCAGAGGTTTAAATACTTGTTCCCTCAAACCCCGATATTTGATCTCATTTCCTATTCACATACCGCCTCAAATCGCCTCGCCTTGGCCTGTATGAACTGTTGCTGCCCAGCGTGGGTCATGTACTGGACGTGGATCAGTCTCATTGGAGAACTCGAGAAGGAAGACAAGCGACAATGGGGAGATGGCTTTTTGACAAAGAGGCTCGAGGCCTGTCACACTGTGCGATATCATGTGGAGATAGATTCTCAGCTGTGATGAGTCTTGCATAGGGTTGAGGTAAGTTGGGCTTGAAGTGTGATTTGATGCTGCAGTTGTGACTGGGGATTGTGGCAGCTCATGAGCCAATCAAGGATAAGGCGAGCAACCTGGAACGACATTGAATAACTTTGTACCTAGCACTTAGTAACTGACCAATTCCGAAAGTCCTGGACTTATTCTTCGACCAGGCAATTATGCAAACTTATTTGCGACCAGAAATAGTTTCCTTCACAGCATCAGAGGAATAACCAGGCACCCTGTGAACCGAAGGTCCACAGCCATACTTGTAAATTGAGATAGAAACGAACGAGTGTAGATTCAAATAGCCCCGACCCTTACTTAAGAAACGAATGCTGTGTCTTGTTTTTCAGCCAGTCAGACCCCTATGTCTCTTGACTTCCATCTTCAATTCCTTCCGCCAACATCCCATTCCGACAGTCGCCTCATAATCGACAATGCCCTGACATCCCCCGTTGCTGAATCAGACATACTCAGAGGCGCTGACAGTCTTGATCGCGTCCAGCTGGTCCTTAATCTTTCGAGACCGCTCCCTGAAAAACATCCAAGCCACCCCAACGATGGCGACGAAGAAAACTGAGCCGATCATGACTCCTGCGATGATGACTGCTTCATTGTGGCTGCCAGCCTTGTTGGCAATGTACTTGGCGGAACTATCGTTACCATTGGTGCTGAAGGGACTCAGGGAAGAATCCATGATTGTTGTAAAGTGTGAACTTATGAATTTTCCAGTCTGATATTTGTGGTGTTCCTGGGCTTCTTAGTTAGTGCTCCATTTCCAAGGCGGCACAGAGTGACGAACAGTTTTGTATATGTTGGGGATGACGGCAAAAGATCGTGGATCAAAGAACCGCAACTTGAGTAAAATTGATCAACTGCTTGCACCAGGCTCGCAGTGTGTAAGAACGAACGAAATGATTGAGCTGGGCATTTCTCTGTTGTGGGTTTGCCAAATATTTGTACTATTTCGAAAAAATAGTATGAATGATGAGTCGTTTTCTTATTAGTATTGTTCCTGGATAATGTGGATTTCTGCCTCTCCTGGATGTTTCGACCCTTTATTTATGTCTGTATCTAATATGCGGTCAAAATTGCCAGGCCCGTGTGTGCCATGACTTCTAGAAGCTCTGAGATGATATATCATTCTTCTAGCCACAGCCAACACACTAGTACGCCATATGATTATATTCAACAGCTATAGTGTACACTCTAGCAGGGTTTACCTAATTTCCTCACACAAAACACAGGTTTCATGCTTGGCTCTGCACGTTTGTTTATAGAAGCTTGGTGTTGATTGGTATTATTCATTACATGCGGCAAAACGTCCCAGCGCTTGGTCCGCTTGCCTCCTTTCGCTGGGTCTATGATAAACCGTGCTCAATATTACGAGGAAACCATGATGCCATGCCAGTTATCCTCCCTGTTCGCCATGCTGCTTACCTTTTTGTCTATGTCCTCCGTTGAATGCATGCTGCACTTGCAGCTGAGTGAAGCCGTTAACTTTTCCCAGATATCTCGAAATCAGATCGCCAATGCTGTTTCATTCCAGGCGGGGTAGTAGGTGTGCCATGCACCATTATCGTGTGTCTTTGAGGCTGAGCTTGACTCAGGGGTGCTGGTTTCGGGGATTGAAGTGGTAGTGGTAGTCAAAGTGATCAAAGTTGTTGGCGCTACAGGGGGGTCATAAGGTACGGCGGCAGTAGACCAGGATTGATCCTGAGTCGCATCGCTTTCAACAAAGGTACCCTGTGAAGTAATAGGCACCACTGGAGCGTCCGGTGCAGGGCGTTCAGTTTGTTCTGGAGCTCCAGCACTCTCGCTTGTCTGGGTGAGGAGGGTAGTTGGTTTCCAAACCGAGGCTGGGCTTTCGATAGTAGGAGGAGGCTGAGCAACTGTCTCAACGGGCGAAGGATAATCAGTGATACAGGTGGTTGATGATGTTTCAGTAGTCTGAGGCGGCTCAATGTTGGTAGGTGATTCGGGCTCAGGCTCAGGCTCAGGTTGGGGTATGGGCTGAGGCTGAGGACTGGGTTGAGATGTGACGCCTGGCGCGGCAGCCGAGCTCAGATCAGTTGTACTTTGGGCAACCGGCTCTCGCTCCTCGGTAGTAGTACCGGGCTCCCGTGTGGTTGTCGGCTTTGAGCTGGGGCGAGGGACAGTGACCGTCTCCGTAACTGGCTCATCGTCCATGTTGATGACCGAGACGGTAGTAGGGACTGCCTTGGTGACAGTCTTTCCGGGAGCAGTGACGATACTGGGCTTTTCGGTTTGCGTGACAATTTTTGTGACTGGCTTTCGTGTCACTGTTCGGATAACTGTCACGACGCCATCTCCGTTGTTGTCACTACTACCGCCACCGCTGCCATTACTGCTACCCCCATTCCCACTTCCATCTCCATTTCCTCCACCAAGATCACCTGAAGCGGGGTCATCATCGCCAGGTTCTAAAGGAACGACTGAGTATTTGGGTTTGGCTGTAGCATCGCGGTGCACGATTCTAGGCTGGGGAAGTGCAAGGACTGTGGTATAAGAAGCAGAAAGAGCCAGAAGAAGGGGGATGAACCCGCGCATCTTGACGAGGCTATTTCGCTGAATGCGTTTGTTGTTTGCAAGGAGTGAGTTTTGTGTGGTTTTTTGTGAAGAGATAGGAGGAAAATGGACTCGCGGCGGTGCTTAAAGGTGCTTGCAGATGCTGGCACTGGCAGCTAACAAGAGACCATCAACAGCGAGTAAATGCCATGAGCGATTCACAACTGAGCGAAGAATAATCACAGTCTCAAATGAGAGACAAAGGTTGAATCTTACGTGGAACTAGGAAGACAAGACAAGAGAAAATGGCACAGGCCTGACACGTCCCAGGAATAGTTTTATTAATTGCAATTGAGATGGCTGGTGAAAGCTGCTATCCCTAGCAGGCGTTGAGACGTGAATTCATGGAGGTTGGAGTGACACCAAAAACGCGCTAGCATCTTCTGGTCAGGAACAATCGGGGGATTCTATGGGCGTTGGTCTTAGCGGGAGATTCACCAGCCACCTGCAATAGCAAAATCTCGAAGCTTGATTGGGTGAGTTGTGGGCCAACGTTATCTCGAACGCATCGTTCAGCTGCAAAGGATCGGTGGGGTTATCCGAAAAATGCAAATTGACAAGTTCAATCCTTTATTTGACCCTCTCACATGGTCTACACCATTCTTTAGCTTTCCAGACCCTCTTTGTTGACTCTGCTCTGGAACTATGATGAAGCTGAGTTGCGCGTTTGTGGCGGTGGAGTGGCGCTTGTGTCATTGAAGTGGCTGGAGCATGTCTCCGAATCCGGCAAGCCCAAGAATCAAGACTGTCTGTCTGAGTCGTTTTTACGGAGTAATTAGCAGAGAGCCAGAACACATGATCATGGCAGTTGATGAGAGTCTGAACAGGTCGGGTCATGCGATGACGACTCGCGCGAGCTTGGCAGCGAGCCCTTACAATTCCTTGCGCATCCATCAACACACCACACCCACTCAGCCTCCAATGGGACCTCGAATGAGTGGCCATTTTGCCGGGAATAGGTGACAAGAAGCGTCTCCGCATCCTCATCAAAAGACCGGGTTCCTATGCTGAGGAAGCGGGTCGGGCATCCTTTGACATTCATTGCTTGCATCTGCCCAAAAAAATATTGCCAGCTCTTGCTGCATGTTATCCGAGTCTCGGCTGCATTGACCAGATGCTTAAATCAAGATGCCCCTGCCGAAATCCTCAAATGAGGGGCAAAATCATGTCAACAAGACGTTCTGTTTGGGGAAGATGACGTTCCATCCGATCCTAAGTTTAGTATCTTGGCTGTTGGCTTGCTCCGCCTCTGGGCAACCCACATGGATCGCCATTATTGAGATAGCGCCTCAAGGCTGAGCAGCATATGCGCGTCTCTCTTCAGCCCAGGGCAACTCAGGTACCATAAGTAGGTAAGGTAGTTTGGGTCTTAATAAGAGCCCGAGGTGCCACTGTCCATTTCCATTCCGCTAGCACTTCCGTACCTTACACACTCCCTTTGTACAAAACCCATCATTTCCCCTCCATCACCCCGCAATATCCATACAAATTTCACATCACGTCACCATAGCCATACGCAGCATGTCTTACCAAGGTTACGGTGCTCCCTACGGCCGTAAGTAAACTGTCCATAGCTATGATACGAAAGGCAAGGCAGTCTAACTGGATTAATATATAGAACCGCCACCTCCACAAGGTTATGGTCAATATCCCCCCCCACAGCAGCCGTATGGTGGTTATCAACAACCTCCTCCTGGTCAATATCCCCCTCAGCAAGGCGGGTATCAGCAACCTCACGGCCACTATCCTCCCCCCGGAGGTCCTCCCCAATCTCAGCAACCTTATGGTGGATACCAACAGCAACCTCCTCCTCCACAACAGTACGGCGCACCTCCAGGACCTCCACAGGGCCATTATGGCGCGCCTCCTCCTCACCAGCAACATCATCAACCCTACGGCCAACCTTCACCTGCGCCGCCCGGTCAGTACGGCGCGCCTCCTCCTCAACAATATGGAGCGCCGCCAGTCCAACCGACTCCACCGTCGCTTGGCTACGGACCGCCTCAGATCATCCAATGGAATGGCGGCCCCGACGCTGACGCTCTGCGCAAAGCAATGAAGGGTTTTGGTACTGACGAGAAAGCGTTGATCGCCATTTTGGCCAATAAGGACCCTCTGCAAGTTGATACGATCCGCGCTGCTTACGAACGCAACCATCGTCGCAAACTGGTCTCTGATATTCAGAGTGAGACAAGCTCATGGTTCCAGAAGGCTTTGGTCTCACTGGCCCGCGGTCCGCTCCTGTCTGACGTGCATGCCTTGCATGAGGCCATGTCTGGTCCTGGAACTAAAGAAGTTGTTCTTAACGATGTCCTACTTGGCCGATCAAATGCAGATCTCAAGGCAATTAAGAGCGCGTACTATCAAACGTTCCACGACAAGCTCGAGGATGTAGTGAAGGGCGATTTGAGCATGAAGACTGAGCGGCACTTTATGATTGTTCTCGGCGCTACTAGAGCTGAGGACGCTGCGCCGGTCGACCCTCGACAGGTTGATGACGACGTGATGCAGATCTATAAGGCTACTGAGGGCAAGATGGGCACCGACGAGATTCTCGTATGCAGCATTCTCAGCACAAGGAACGATAATCAGATTCGCGCCATTGCGCACACCTATAAGCAGAAGTTTAACAAGGACCTTGAAAAGGTTATTAAGAGCGTGAGTACACTTGACACAATAATTAGAAACAACTTACTAATGTGACCTAGGAGTTTTCTGGCCACATGGAGGATGCTCTCCTTTTCCAGCTACGCAATGCCACAGACAAGTACATGCATGCAGCCAAGCTTCTTGAGGATTCAATGGCTGGTATGGGAACAAAGGATCACCTCCTGGTATCAAGAACAATCCGCTACCATTGGGATCGAAACACGCTCAACAACGTCAAGGGTGCATACCAACAAAGATACGGTAAGAGTCTGGGCAAACGGATTTACGGCGAGACATCGGGTGACTATCGAAAAACACTGCTCGCAGCAATCGGTGAGCCTTATTAAGAGGTGGAGTTGAGGAAACGATAAATGAGAGGGTGCATTTCGCGGTTAGAAGGATATGATATAGATTCGAGTTGGGCTTCACAACCTCTCGCGGCTGATGCTCAATGTAATGAGGGGCGTTTGCTATGACGATGCGTTGTCTTGAAATTGGATGGCTACGGAACCTGTGGATGATGAGATCAAGATACCAAGTATGAATTAAGAATTACATTTGCTGTAATGAGTTTTGAAGTAAATTATATAACCTTAGTTGCGTGATCTTAGGTATAAATATCAAAGCATATTTCTAACTAATTACTATACTAGACATATAAAGCTATATAAAGCACTAATAAGTTATAAGCTTTTATATATTTTATTATTAATTTTAATTAATATAGAGCATATGCTTAAGCACTCAGGCAGAAATTATCACATGACCCTGCTCCACTCTGTAAAGGTATTTCTGAATCACGCTAGCGCTATTAAGGCACTAAGGAAATTTTATAAATCTAAAGGCTCCCCCTTTAAGCAATAACCCTCCCTAACTTTTTCCACGCCCTTGGCGCATACGGAACCCCTGCTAACTTTTATGCCCCTAGCGCGCAAGCAAGTGTGAACGCGTCCTAAAGGCATTTGGCGTTTGGGCACAGAAGAAGGCACCACGATATTCATCTGAAGACTTACAGTCAGTCAGCCTGGTTTGCTGCTCATTCTCTTATACTTCATCATACTTCTTTTCTTTTCTCTGTTTCTTGTTTTCAATCTCATTCATTACAAGGCCATATTTCGATGATACCCGAGCAGTCACCAGCAACTCGGAGACGCTCCTCTCAAGTTTCTGAAATTCTGAGATAGTCGCCGAGAGCTAGAAAAGTGCGACACTTCTCTCTAGAGTGTTCGGGGACTAAGGATGGCGACACAAGCTTCATCTCCGCCAGCTGGCGTACCATTGCAAAATGGTATAAATGGTGCAAAAAGTCCTAATCCAATCATCGCTCATCCGTACGGTCAAACACCAGTACCTCTGCCGAGCTATGCTCCTACTTCGCGACCTGTGTCAGTCGCCTCTACTCCTACTGCGCAAAAGCCAAGCGCTTCGCCCGCACCAGCAACTCCTTTTCTCCCACCAGGACATCAACAATCACCGCCAATGCAGACAAATCGTTTGAGTCAGACAATTTCACAACGCCCTCAGACACAGACACTCAGCACCCCATCGCAGGCACAAGGTCTGATGTCGCCACCGCTGAATCAGCCGCCGCACTCCGTCGAGGCATCAAATCACTACCATGAGTTGACTGCTTTAGTCGAGAAAACGCCGGCTGATGTTGTTCGCCAAGTTGTTCGAGACAAATGGGAAAAGTCTCTTGCGGGCTCGCAGTATCACATCGCTTTCTTGGTAAGTTTCTCATGCGCAGCATTCTGGTTCAAGCCTACCTCGAATTTCATCGTCAGACCGCGTTGGCTTCATCACAGCTCCGACACTTTCTGGCTCATGCTTCGTACGACTTACTAACTCTCTCATAGTTGAATGCGACTATGCATCAAGCATCCCCGGAGACTATTGCCAAGGCCGTCCAGGAGTTCGGTGCAAACCTGGTACAAAAGTCTAAGCGCGAGTTATTGGGTCACCTCAACGCCAGTGACTTTGACGAGCTCGCAGACTTGATACTCCCTCTGGTTAGTACACAGTTTCTGGACAGGGCCCTTGCAAGGCGTCTGGAGACGATACCAGCCCGGCAGCTCGTCAACTCGTTGGCGCGTGCAGAAAGGCTGGGCTACGATGCCAAGGACATCGTCCAGGAGCATAGTGAGCATGTCATCCCTTCTCTGCACTCGTTGCCGGTGCAGCCGCAGCCGCAGCCCACGGGGCCTCTAGCAAACACGACGCTTAGTACGACGCAACATCATACTCCTTATGTCGCTTCGCAAACTCCCCCACCGCCAATGCAATATGGTAATAAACCAGCGACTCAAACTCCGGCGAAGACATCGCCAGAACTT